GGGGGGGGGGTCACACCGGATGGGCTAAACCCTAAACCCCAAACCTGAACCAAGGCAAACGAACGCAAGGCGAACGAACACTCCTGTTCAAAATCAAAACTGACTTTTTATTTACGTATCTATCCTTATTTTAAAAGTTTAATTTTTTTAAAATATACTATATATATAGTGAAATCTAAATACATCCATAACTACTGGCTCCCTAGCCCCGTCCCGTTTTCTTGTTTGGGTGTGTTGTCACATTATGCACATCTCGTGTGAGACACACCCACTCCTTTTATTAGGGTTCGTGTAACCCCGTTACAGAAATACTCTAGGGTTTCAGAGATTGGCGGCCCTACCGCAATTAAAACAATTGAATAGTGTTTTGTTTTTGAACAGAAGTGTCTCTTTGCCTTGGTAAGGCTTTAGTTCTCAGAAGTAACGGATTGCGATCCGCTACACTTGTACTGGATCTTGGAAAAAAAGTAAGGTCGGTGACCTTACCTTAGCTTCCTCTGAGCAAAGACCTACGGCAGCCCCGCTGCACTTGGTAGTACTCGTCGTCAATCTCCGCCTGAGTCATTACGTCCCATCTTCCGTGAAAAATCCTTTTTGCCCCAGGGCATCCAGGACAAGCTTAATAAGCCGATGTCCCTGCTGGGCCCTGAGGGCGTGGGGCACCACGTTGCGCAAGGGCCCAAGGCCATAAGCGCGCGGCTAGAGGCGTTTTCAAGTTATAAAAATGCTCTGTTAGAGCACTTACAGCAGAAGGTGTCAGCGTCGACTGCGTCTATGACACCACCGTTGACGACGGATGATATCTCCCGACCCAGGCCGCTCATGGTGAGCGCTAAGACCTACGAGGTTAAGGATGGAGAAAATCTCCTTATCTGGGCGAGAGAGACCGAGATGGCTATGGCATCAGCCATGCTTCAAAACGAGCAGCAGCGCTTGGTGCTAGCTATCTTCAAGCTCGGAGGCCGAGCGCGAGAATGGGCACTAACGTGCGGTGCTTCGGTTGAAGCTACGTCTTCCTCCTGGAAGGAGCTGAAGCATCAGCGTCTGCGAGTGCTCTCGCCGCCTTATCGAGCATATCGCGTAAGCTCGCGTTTTCTTGATGCCCGACAGGTCAAGAAGGAGTTGGTGGACTCTGTCCATATTTTGAGCGCTCTTATTGCGGGATGACAGCAGATCATTTTCCTGAGGCGGTCGCAGTGACCGTCTTTATGGAGGGCCTCCGCACAGGCGTTGCCAGAATGGAAGTCTTCTGTGTACATCCGTCTTCTTTTGAAGAAGCGGTGAACGTGGCATTGAATGCCCAATTCAACTTCAAGTCGGCACGCCTTGGTTGGAATGCACACCCTCAGAGCTCGTCGAGCGGGCCTGAGCCAATGGATTTCAGCTGTGCTGAGGACAAGGGAGCAGAGCTCCGAGCTGCCGAGCAGCCGAGCAGCATACAAAAATATACGACGGTGTTTTGTATGTGGAGAAACCCGTCACCTT